ATATAAATTTTTTTTTTGGAACAAGTTGTCAAGAGGCGGATTCAAAATCCACCTATGAAGAAGAGGAATGCACCTCAAATTAGTAAGGTACCAGTTGATTCGAAGGATCAGGTGTTATTTTTTATATAAATTAATAACTAAAAAATATATTAATTACATATTTAGCATGTACTCTAAAAAGTACATCCCACTAAAATTCATATATTATATATGAGTAATAATACGTTGGATGATTTTGGGAACGAAATCGGAGGACGACAAGTGAAGCAAAATCCCAACAACAATTATCAATTTGATCCTGCTTCACTTGTCATCCTTCGATTTCGTCCTCAAAATCGTCTCGCGTATCATTACTCATTATATATATAAACTACTTAAGGCAATTGTAAATTTTGATGCATTCAATGACTTGCTCATTAACTCTTTCTTTGGTATCAACTATCATATTGACATTTATTTTGACTAGAGACTACTTTCTTTTCAACACAGGATAACATTGGAGCATACACATGCATAAATTTGAAGGATGCTAACAAGATCATTGGCATCACAACAGAGGAGCTCGTCCTTAAAGCTAGAGACGGTGGTGGCTTACCACCCTAATGTGGTAATTGGCAAGTTAAAAAATTTGATGCCTCCTTGTTCCTGCATCAAGGGAGGTCATCGAAAAACTCATTGTTATGCCTTACCTACCCAAGACGCCCTACTCTGTAAGCATTTTACGAATCAATTCCAATGTAAAATCAGTTTTTTTTTTTTTATTTTGTCTGTAATTATGTAGACATAGTATTTGCTTTCTTAAGCTGAGATGAAATAAATTGAATCTCTAGTTTGCGTAACAAATTTTGACGCACATCAAACAATTAGTTACTTGTTTCTATTAATTACATTTTAAAGTTAAATGTTACTCCCAGCAAATACTAGCAATGAGCTATCTATCATTTGCTGTCTCTGTCCCTGCAACACTTTTATCTCTAATTTGCCTCTTCCTTTTCCTGCTCCTTCTCATCCTTTTCTCACCTTCATTACATTCCTACAAAGCAAAATGCTGAATTGTATCAATATCAAAATTTATTTCCATCATATTTGCATTAAATTTCTCCGACTCTGTAATGTGCCTAAAAGTTGATATATTACCATTGCCATAAATCGCAAAACACCCTTTTTTTTTTTCGTTTTTTTGATAAGTATCAGAAAACATATTATTAACAGAGAATAACATGCTAATATTTAAATTCTTCTGTCACAGCGAACACTAAAAACTTTAGATCCAAGGCTCCATTGCAAGTTGCAACCATCCAACGCAACAACAAATGAAAACAAGAAAAGCTTGCTGTTTCGATGTTTCTTAAT